TTGTGCCATTCCTCTCAAGAACCGCAGACATTTTAAAGGTTCTATGTGAAGCAGTCTGGGCCAGGAGGGGGGCACGGAAAATACTTGTCTGGGCTAGCATTGTTCCCTTTGTCCACTTAAGCAGGGCTCAATTTTATTTCTAGAATGTCCCAGCTGACAGGCTCCGTACACAGGTTTTGCCTCTTTTCTTTCAGGGAGTTGAGCTGCAGAAGCCCTCCCTTTCCCAGGATGCACTGTGGCACCGTCCTACAGAAGGTCTGAGGCAGAGATGAATGTGCCCTGTTCCCTTCTTTATGTTAGGGCCTGCCTCAGGGAAGGTGCTTGTTGCTGCTAATCTGTAACAGGTGGTAGGAACGCCAGGGAAAACAAGGCCTCCTCTGTATGGCAGTGAATAAAAGAAATTCAGGTGCTACAGGAGCAAAACTGGTGTGAAGACAGGGTAAAGCAGTGGCCTCAGAGGGAGGGAATAGTGGACCCGTCTCGTGCTTCCTCCCCCAGCCCGTCCCTCACCACAATTGTTTTCCACCTTCTTCCAGTACTACTTGAAATTCCCTTAGCAGGAGGCAAAGCCTCTCTTGCCACACTAAATATAAGTACAGGTTAAGCTAAAATGCAATATAGAATAGGATCCCAGAAAGATGGAGAAGTACTTTGCCCTATTCCTACGATGATATGCAACTTAATTGTGCAACCTGGACATAATACATAAAGATCAAATGACTCTAAAAGATAGGGAGAAGATGAGCAAGGGGCCTCAAGACCCAAGAAACAGCACAGTGGTGAGTTCCTGGGTTTTCTTTTTGTCTCATATGTCCCAGACTTATTGGTGGAAAAGCTGGCAATTCAGAAACACCCCAGGTACAGACCTAAGAAGTCCCAACAAAAGCCTGCTCTCTCTAACCAAAGGACCAGAAAAGAGACAGACTAGCAAGGCAGCAAACTTTAGAAAAGAACTGCTTTACTCCAGGTAAACAGCTCAAAACAAACAAACAAACAAAAAACCAAACACCCTATGGTCCCACCCCAACCCCATCCCCAAAGGCTGAGTCAGGAGCTGAGACTTCCACCCTGGTGAGACCCCCCCCCGGCCAGGTTGGCATCAGGGAAGGCTGAGTGGGGAGGTAGAACATTCATCCCAGCCACCCCCTCCCATGTCAGCACACCTGAACTTCTACTTCCATCTAGCAGTGCCAAGGCAACCTTTCCCTTCCCTCCCTTCACCCTACCCCTGCAATGGTAAAAGAGGAAGCCTAGTGGAGAGTCAGGACTTTCACTACCACCCGAGTAGTGGTGAGGCCACCTCCTCCAAATACCACTGGCAGCCTCCTGAGGAGCAGTAAGGAGGCACTCTTGCCTCTCCCACCCTGAGTGGCCCAGTATGGAGCCAGCACTCCCACCCCCACCCAGCAGTAACAAGGAGGCAGCATCCCCCCCACCCCCGTAACGGAGGCCAAGTAGAAAGCCTGGGCTTCTACCTTACCTGGCACCCCCTCCTCCCTCCGCTGAAGCAGTGTTGGTACAGAACCAAAAGAGATTTAAATAAGATCCAGAGTCTCATAACAGAAAACTAAAAATGACTACAATTCAAAAGTCACTCATCATACCAAGAACAAGGAAGATCTCAATTTGAGTGAGATAAAAACATTCAATAGATGGCCACATTAAGATGACACAGATGTTAGGCTTCTTGGACTAGGATTTTATTTTTTATTATTTTTTTAAGATTTTATTTATTTATTTGGCAGAGGGAGAAGCAGGCTCCCCGCTGAGCAAGGACCCCAGTGTGGGACTCGATCCCAGAACTCTGGGATCAATACCTGAGCCGAAGGCAGACACTTAACCGACTGAGCCACCCAGGCGCCCCTTGGACTGGGATTCTAAAGCAGCCATCCTAAGAATGCTTTGGCAAGCAATTACAAACATTTTTAAAACAAATGCAAAAAGAGAAAGTTTCAGTAAAGAAATAGAAGATATAAAGAAGAACCAAATGGAAACTTTAGGGCTGAAAATAAAATAAATGAATTAAAAACTCAATGGATGGGCTCAGTAGCAGAATGGAGGGGACCAAGGAAAGAATCAGTGGATTAAAAGATAAAAAAAATAGAAATTACCCACTCTAAACAACAGAAATAAATACAATGAAGAAAATGAACAGCATTTCAGAAACCCATTAGACTATAAGAAAGATCTAACATCCATGTGATTGGAGTCCCAGAAAAAGAGAAGAAGGCTGGGCAGAAAAAGTATTGAAAGAATAATGAAAGAATTCAAGAGGCTGAGCAAACCTCAAACACAATAAACCTAAAGAAATCCACTCCAAGAAACATCATAACTAAGAAAACTAAAGTCAAGGGGAAAAGTCCTGAAAGCATTTGAGAGAGAAACACCTTATCAGGGAAGACAACAATTCAAATTACATCAGACTGATCAGAAACCAGAGAGGCAAGAAGAAAACCACACAACATTTCGCAAGTGCTGAAAGCAAAGGACTGTCAGTGCTAAATCCTATACCCAGCAAAATTATCCTTCAGGAATGAAGGGGAAATTGAGACATTCTCTGATGAAGGAAAACAAAGAGACCTACTCTAAAAAATAGCTAGAGGTAGTTCTCTAAACAGAAAGGATATGACAAAAGAATGGAACTTGGAATATCAGGGGGAAAGAAAGAATAAAGGAAAGAGTACAAATATGGGTAAGTACAATACATTGTCCCTCTCAAAAAACACAGTATCTAGGAAAGAAAGAACAGTTTAAACATCCAGTAATAATAAGCTAACCTTGGAGAGCTTACTCTAGGCAAAGCATTTTGCCCACCTCATCCCATTAAACCTTTACAAAAGCTGCAGGGGGATTACCAGGGCCTCCAGTTTATTGATGTGGGAATTCTGCAGTAAGCATATGAAGCAGGGTTTGAATGCACAGATGTCTGATTGATTCCCAACCTTGGGCTCTTAACGCTTAGGTCAGTCAATCTGCAGCATCTCACTCTGAACTGCTTTCCTTGGAGAAGCAGTTGGCAAGCAGACCAGAACAGGCTCTCTGGAAGGCAAAGAGCCTGAATGAAGGAGAAGTAAGGAACCCAGAAAACTGTTTAACACAGACTTAGAAAAGAACAACAGGAAATGAAGAAAAAGATTCTACAAGAAAGAGCAAAGCAAGAATTAGAACAGAAACAACTTAGAAGTTGGGAGGTACCTTTTGCCCTGGTAAAGACACAAAAGCCCAGAGAGGATGGGCAACTTGTCCAAAATCTCCAGACAGTTAGTGCTAGAGCGAGGACAGGAACCCACAGTTCCTGACCCCCAGGCCATTGCTTTTGGAAACAGTAAAGAAATGAATGGCTAAGTTTTCACATGGTCTCCTCTAAGTAGAAAGAAAGTGTCCCAAGTCTTAAACCATCAAGGGGACCATTAGTAGGTCAGGTCAGCATGACTTTGAAGAAAGAATCTGGAAAATCATGAAGAAGGATTTCAAGACAATCCAGAGAACTAAGAAAGAGGTAAGGCCATGGATCTTTTGGATAAGGGGTTAGGCCCTCTCCAGAAACCTGGTCTAAGGTGGAAAATAGTTATATAAAAGGTGATATAGTTCTAATGCAAATAGCTGGAAAAAGCTTTCCTTCTGATTTTTGGGTGAGGAAGACACAAGGCTTTGGAAAGTGGTTGCTGAATGGTCTCCCTAACCTCCACACTCAAATATGACCCCTTATCTCCTGAGTGTTGGGCACTACCAGTCATCAGAAAGTTGCTATATACAAATTAGGGTAACAGCAAAGAACCCTTTAGCCCAAAAAAGAGTTGAAGCAGAATGTCCGTACCAAAGAAAGTATCCTTGGAAGTTAGGGGACAGACCTGAAACAGTGCCGCTGATATACCTTGCACTGTCCACTTCACACAAGATGTTTTGGTGTCTATCACGACTCGGGCCTTTGGGGACAGGAGGATGCATGGGTCCCGCCTGTCGTTGAATGCAGTTTTTGTAACTGAAGTGCTTTTCATTATATTTTTAAGCATTACTGATTTTTTCATCCTTTTGTAATTTCAAGGATTTGTTTCTTCTGTTGTCTTCCACGTGATTCTAGAGGTCAGTGTAATAGGGCAGGATGAAGAAATAATAGGAATTCCAGGACACAATATTTCATGAATTAAAATGCAGAATTTGTAAGAATAATCATCATAACAGCAATGGCAACATACAAAACTACATATACTATAAGTGCATTTTTAAAAACTATAACTACCCATATATCTATCCATCTGCAGATAAACACAAGGCCTGGAAGAAAATACTCAGAGACACTAATCGAATTCCAGTGACTCTCAGCCCTATCATATCCTCTCTTTAGGTAATATTTTTTTAAAGATTTTATTTACTTATTTGACAGAGAGAGACACAGTGAGAGAAGGAACACAAGCAGGGGGAGTGGGAGAGGGAGAAGCAGGCTTCCCACCGAGCAGGGAGCAGGATGAGGGGCTCGATCCCAGGACCCTGGGATCGTGACCTGAGCTGAAGGCAGACGCTTAACGACTGAGCCACCCAGGCGCCCCTTTACATAATATTTTATAATGCCCATTAATCTTCTTGAAATGATGGTCCTAGGTAATATGTCTTGCCTACACAAATAATTTTTTTAAAAATCAATTTATACCCTACCTATAATGTAAGGATAAATAAAAGGAAAGTAGTTTATAGTTTTAATTGTATTTAAACACATGAACTTTTATGGTACAATTACACTAGAAAATAACAATGTCCCCATAAATTCCTAAAACAACTCCTATGGGATGAACCTGGCACCTCTGAATATCACTGTGTTTTTTTAAAAGATATCCAGAGAGTGAGATTATGATTTTTAAGTTTTCTTTTTATAGAGAATATTTGCCTTCATAAATTCATGTCTGTGGCTTTCATAACCAGAAGCCTAGTGTTGGGGGTGCCTGTCATGTGATCACAGTGTATCCAATACAAGGGGGGAGAAATTCTCAAAGAACGAAACTTACCTCAAATGAATAAGCTTTTCCAATCCCATCTCCTGCTCCAGTGATCACTGCAAAAAGCAGAGATGGTTTTAAAGGACAGACTTAATCTTTAAAGTGCTCTTTCACACCAGCTACATTTTTTTGCAGGCTTACTGCCTAGGACATAGTATTTCAAAGCAGTGCCCTTCTGCTCTACAGCCCTATTCCACTCAACTCTGGAGCTTCCAGCTCTGAATCCCCTCATTACATGTTCCAAATGAAGCTCTTTGGGGTTTTTTTTTTTTAATTTTTTGGTGGGGTTGGTAAGGCTGTGGAAGATAGTCTCCAAAAGGAAACAAAGAACCTCAGCCAGGGAACATTTCATTCAGACCCCCAAATGGTGTACCCTATTATCTCTCTACCCACACACTCAACTCTTACAGTAAGGACATTTCAAGATTCTTCCTAAAAGTCGAGTGTTTCCCTCTTCCCATGCCACCCCACAGGACAGCAGCACTCAAAGTCCATGGGAGATAAGGAACTTAACAAAGAGGAAAACACAGAAATGCCAAAAGGTGATATAATGAAATGAAGGGACCTGAAGAATCTGCAGTCAGGGTATCTATTGATTAACCTGTAATGATCAGATTGACCAAGTCCTGTTATATCCAACATTAACACACATATTTTATGACTGAGTTCTAGGGTAAACTTCATTCGAGTGAATGTCACAATTTGAAATTGTACTACAGTTCAGTATTTATGTATCTGCAATTTACCTTTGAACAACAATGGGAGGGTATACTTTCCAAGTGTAAATAAAACATATATTTAGCTTATTGGAGAGTAAGAGCCAAGCTGTACAAGCTTCCAGAAACACACTGGCAGAGTGTTCTCATTTTCTTTTTTTCTTTTTAAGATTTTATTTATTTATTTATTTATTTGAGAGAGAGAAAGAGCGTGAGTGGCGGGTTGGTGGGGAGGAGCAGGAGAGGGACTAGCAGCCTCCACGCTGAGCATGAAATCCAACTTGCTGCTCGATCTCATGACCCTGAGATCATGACCTGAGCTGAAATCAAGAGTCAGACACTTAACCTACTGAGCCACCCAGGTGCCCCAGAGCACTCTCATTTGCATAACAGCTGATAGTTTTGTTTGTTCACTTGGAGCCTTCTAGGTGAATCCATGCATATTATCTGTTCCTCTTGGTACAGGTGCTATGCTCAGGGTTATCTTCTGCCTCACCTTCCCCTCCCTTATGGGAACCTTCCAAATCACCCAGTATAGGATCTGGACTAGAGCTAAGATAATAACATCAATAAATGACTGGTTTTTATTGAGTGCTTACTTTCTGCCATGTACTGTTTCAGGTGTTTTAGATGCAGCATCTCGTTTAATATTCAAAGCAAGTTTATAATGCAGGGACCATTGTTTTCCTTAGTTTATAGAGGAGGAAGCTGAGGGAGAGAAAGTTAGTAACTCAGTCAAGGTCACATTGCTAAAAATGATGACAACAACAGGTTTGAAACCCGGCTATCTGATTTTGGGGATACAATTCTATAAAGATACACCAGTGACATAATTTCCTAATCAACCACAGAGTTCTGAGGAGTTAAGCAATTTCATCTTTAGTAATTGGATTTTCTTCTGGCTCTCCACCAGAAATACATGCTCTCCCAGAGATCTGCCTATGCTCAAAGACATTTTAATCTTGCTAGTGATAATTCTATTCAATATTGAGTCAAATAATAGGTTAAGATTATGTTTTTTTAATGTGAGTCAACAAATACTCTTGTCTTTGGCCCCATGTGAACTTCTTTTGGAGTGTGTGTTTTCAGAAGGGCTTTGCCTTACACTGATGAGCAGCCCTTGTACAGAGTTTTAAGAACCACCCCACCCCCTGCCAAGTGTGTGGGCATTTGGATCTGTGTGGAGCAGGATATTTGGATCCAGAGCACTCAAGTTCAAGCTATTTAGCAAGTTTTCTGAAGATACTTCCCCAAGAGTGAAGGAGTGTTCACAGACACACACACACACACACACACTTCAAATGTAACGTGCAACAGTTAAAAACCCATTTTTCATTCATTCCAAACAACTTCCATACGGCAATTGTTTTATATCTGCTACTAAGGTTGTACAGTTACCAGCTTTAGCAAGTAAAGATACAGCATGCCCAGCTAAATTTGAGTTTCAAGTAAGCAGCAAATAACTTTTTAGTATAAGTATGTCCTGCATAATATTTGGGATGTCATATACTAAAAAATTATTCCTTATTTATCTAAAATTCAAATTTAACTCTATCCTATATTTTACCTGGAAGCCCTATAAGGTTGTTTATAATCTCTCCTATTTAGCCTGGCATGGTACCTTTAAAGCTGTTTAAATTCTTTGGGTTGTTTTTTTAAGTCACTGGATTCCTTGGATTTCTTCATGTAACCTTAGCACTTCATTCAAAGAGATGCTGAAACCATAGCCTCATGTTTTTCACCTTAAACCCAGTCATCAGGCTGAAATTCTGCGTGGTAGTTCCAGAAGATAAATCCCATTCATTGGTAGGCAGTGATTAATCCACTTGGGACACAAACCAGACCGAGATTCCATATCTAACCATCTCAAACATGTCTTCCTATAGGGACCTTTGTTACCTTGATTTTGTAATACCCTCACTTCATGAAAGGGCTCAGAGAAATTTTTTTAAATTAAGTGAAGGACAATTATTTGTATTTCTGAATTTTGAAACACACCCTTCCACAAAATAGCCATACCATGTGCCTTCAAAAATCTGGAGAAAAGGATGCAGAAATTTCTGCAGTACTTATTATTTGTGTCACCAGAAACTCCAAAAAGGAGAAAACCTAACTAATAAGGATGAGGGGACAAGCACAGAGGCAAGAATTGGGTGGCATTCTTCCAGTTAATTCTTCTCATGCCCCACATCTTCTCTTTTAGACAATTCCAGTTTCACTCATGCTTTCTAGACACCCAAATAAAAGTCTCCCAAAAGAATTACATCTTTGCTCTCAAAAGGAAAAAATGCAATTTATACTTTGAGATATACATGATAATAAGACATAACAAGAAACAAGAGATGGAAAGCTGTCTTTACCTGCCCACTGTCCCATTGACTTCAAGAAAGACTTTGGCAAAACTTTCCAGAAGTGCCGGAAAATATAACTGGAGAATCTCACACACTTCACCAGGTACACCAGGCACACCAGCAGCCCTACGAAAATGAAGAACTGTTCCAGAGCCACCTCCATGACTGTACTCGACCAGTTTCAGACCTGGCCTGGCCCCTCCACAGACCTCCGAGGGCGTGGCTGCTCTGGAGGCGGGTCAGTCACCCTTTGGAGTCACCAGCTGCATTCCACTGTGTAGAGACGTTTAGATTAGAGTAACTTCTTTACACAATCCTCTCATTCACAGGCTTCAGAATAAAGTATTCTTTCTAATATTTTTACAACACCGTTGGGCTTTTGTGACCACGGGGGAGCTGGTGAAGAAGTAAAAGGACATGAAGAAAGATGAAGCCTGGACAAAGAAAAAATGGCTGTGCAGGTTTCTCTCCTTAA